CCTAACCGGTGCCTATTCACCTAATTTTTTTTTGTTTTTTTTTTTCCATCGTGCAATAATATTTAAAAAAAAAAACCTGTTTCCAGCAATAATAATAACTTGTAATTCCAGCAATTATATTAAATATAATAATTAATAATATTATTATTATAATAATTAATAATATTATTATTATAATAACTAATAATAATAATATTATTAATTATTACAATAAGATACAAAAATAATATTAAAAACAAGAATTCAATAATATATATAGATATAAATATTCCCAAACGCAATACAAAAAAAAAGTTGCTTACATATACAAATAATAGTAAGTACATATATAATGAATAATAAGTTATATAGTTCAAAAGTTAACATAAATAATTTACAATTACAATGCCATTTACATGTTGAAGGTGATAAAAGACGCCAACATGTCACGAACTTCATTAAGCTCCTTGATTGTCAACGGACCATCCTTTTGGACTTTGCAAAACTTGAAATACAAAAACATTATTTTAAAAATAATTAATTAGGCAAAACAATATGTATTTTATCAAATATTACCTATATGACTTCTATAAAGCCCATTTCCTACATTACTTATCAAATGAACTATTTCTTTCTCATAACATGTCAATATTGGATAGTTGTATGTGTGTAAACCCTAAAATTGTATAGGAGAGCATTTTATTAAGTTTTATGACGCTTTTTACTAAAAATGGCCCGAATATGGCCTATATGACTTTACTTTGCCCATTTACTACATTTCTTATTAAATAAACTTTATTTATCTCATAACATGTCAATATTATCTAGTTATAGGTGTATAAGGAAAGAAATCACATCAAAAGAGCATATTAACACAAAATGGCCCTAATATGGCCCATATGACTTCTATTCAGCCCATTTTCTACCTTTCTAGTGAAATAGCCTTTTTGTTTCTCATAACATGTCATTGTTGGGTAATATTAGGTGTCTAAGGCTAGAAATCACATCAATATAGCTTTTCAATAAGTTTAACAATGCATTTTACTCAACATGGCCTAAATAGGGCTTATATGACTTATATGTAGCCCATTTTCTACATTACTTATCAAATGAACTAATTCTTTCTCATAACATGTCAATGTTGGGTAGTTGTATGTGTGTAAGCCCTAAAATTGTATAGGAGAGCATTTTATTAAGGTTTATGACGCTTTTTACTCAAAATGGCCCGAATATGGCCTATATGACTTTTTGCCCATTTACTACATTTCTTATTAAATGAACTTTATTTATCTCATAACATGTCAATATTATCTAGTTATAGGTGTATAAGGAAAGAAATCACATCAAAAGAGCATATTAACACAAAATGGCCCTAATATGGCCCATATGACTTCTATTCAGCCCATTTTCTACCTTTCTTGTGAAATAGCCTTTTTGTTTCTCATAACATGTCATTGTTGGATAATATTAGGTGTCTAAGGCTAGAAATCACATCAATGTAGCATTTCAATAAGTTTTAGGACTTACCTCATCAAGCTGTTGAGTGTCCGTACAATGAAACACAATGTCAAGCATGAATCTCATCATATACAAAGCACAATCAAGTCCATTCTCTTGTTGTGCGCACTAGCATATGACAAACAAATCACATCAGTGAAACATGCAAAGGAAATGAGCAAATATTTACTAACATAGATTTTCAAGATAATCACAATATCATGTAAATTACCAATGGTGTCTTCCATGTTGGACCCTTTGGAGCACGACAATGTAGCTTCTTCATAACACTGTAGTAAAAAAAAGTACATTCAAATTTGATTAGTCGTATGATTACTAAATTAGTTATTATTAGCAATAATCATCACTAGGTTGCTATATATATTTACTTTTGCAATATAGACTTCACGAGCCACTTCTCCGATGATCGAGCTGAATTAAGGTGATAAATTGTGTTACTGGAATTACAAATCACCATGAGGCTCCAATGCTCCCTACATAAGTTCACAATAGACAAGGTAATTAATATTTAGGAGTCAACATATAATGAGGCCAAATCGATTGAATTTGACATGGTTAGACTTACTCTCTATAACATGGGGCGAATATGAACTTGTCTCCCGCACGCGTTGATTCCCTTATACTGTGTTCAACATAGTACAACACGTCATGGGGGTTGCCTATGATTCTAGTAGTGGATAACTGCTCGGGGCATAACCACCCAACTTTACAAGGAGAATCAGTGTCAGTTAAGTGCTCCTGTAGTGCTCTGCGTGCATGAACATTGAATAATTTATCAGATGTAGGATAATCACCATCAATTTGAATAACTTGAAAAAAGTATAGATTATGTGGGCATTGAAGTACCTCATGAATGTTTGAATGAGGGAAATGTTAAGCTTTGCACCACGTAGAAATTCCTTCACATCTTCTTTGCTGATCCATACAATTGCATCCTCATCATAGTGGAACATTGCCTTAGGAAGTGCAACTTCCATGGGATCGACCAAATCACAAGCACGGTTGTGAAGAAAGGTCATGTCAGCAGAGAGCGATTGAAGAACAATGTCTTCAACAAGTGGAGTAGGTGGCATGGGTGAACCTTTCGAAGAGTGCAACTTCGACGCTTGTTCACTCTTGGACTGTTGTTCACTTAGCTTCTTCTTAGGTTGATCAATTCTTTTAGGCTTCTCCACCCTCTTTCTCTTTAAAGTTTTTCTTCCATTCGAAATCTGAAATAGTTTGAGAAATAATAAGTTTCAACTCAAAATCACTTATACATATGTAATTATGATATGGTTTGAGAATGTATAAGTTAATTAGTTGAGAAATGAAGAAAATAGGCAAGTGAGTAGCCATTTCGGCTCAAAATGGCTTTATTATGATGAATTGGACCCAAAAACTTAGAACTTGGCGATTTTTATGTAATTTCAAATGACAAAAACTTATAAATATGTGATTATGAATTGTTTTGAGATGCAAGGAGTTTATAAGTTGAGAAATGAAGAAAATAGGCAAGTGAGTAACCATTTCGGCTCAAAATGGCTTTATTATGATGAATTGGACCCAAAAACTTAGAACTTGGCGATTTTTATGTAATTTCAAATGACAAACACTTATAAATATGTGATTATGAGTTGTTTTGAGATGCAAGGAGTTTATAAGTTGAGAAATGAAGAAAATAGGCAAGTAATTAGCCGTTTCGGCTCGAAGTGGCTTTATTTTGATGAAATGTGGCAAAAAAATTAGAACTTTTCTTCTTTTATGCAATTTCAACTCACAATCACTTATACATATGTAATTATGATATGGTTTGAGAATGTTTAAGTTTATTAGTTGAGAAATGAAGAAAATGGGCAAGTGAGTAGCCATTTCGGCTCAAATGACCTTGATTTTGATGAATTGGACCCAAAAACTTAGAACTTGGCGATTTTTATGTGATTTCAAATGACAAACACTTATAAATATGTGATTATGAGTTGTTTTGAGATGCAAGGAGTTTATAAGTTGAGAAATGAAGAAAATAGGCAAGTAAGTAGCCATTTCGGCTCGAATTGGCTTTATTTTGATGAAATGCGCCAAAAAAATTAGAACTTTGCTTCTTTTATGCAATTTCGACTCACAATAACTTATATATATGTAATTATGATATGGTTTGAGAATGTATAAGTTTATTAGTTGAGAAATGAAGAAAATAGGCAAGTGAGTAGCCATTTCGACTCAAATGACCTTGATTTTGATGAAATGATGAAAATTGCTATAAAAAAAATTTTAAAAAATATGCAACTTCTGCCGCACCGGGACACCCGAGGGAGCCGCCCCCGGAACAGCGAAGGCAGCCCGCCCTGAGGCCACAGCAGCCCCGACAGGTGGCTGCCAAGGCTGTAGCAGCCACGGCAGGTGGCTGCCAGACTGCTGCAGCCTCGGCAGCAGCCTGCCTGGGCTGCTGCAGCCTCGACAGGCGGCTGCCATGGCTGCTGCAACCTCGGCAGCACCTGCCTGTGCTGCTACAGCCATGGCAGCGACCTGTCGAGGCAGCAGCAGCCCAGGCAGGCTGCTGCCAAGGCTGCAGCAGACTGGCAGCCACCTTCCGTGGCTGCTACAGCCTTGGAAACCACCTGTCGGGGCTGCTGTGGCCTTGGCGCGGGCTTCCTTCGCTGTTCCGGCAGCGGGGGGGCTCCCACAGGTGTCCTGGTGCGGCGGAAGTTGCATATTTTAAAAAAAAATTAAAAATTAGAACTTGGCGATTTTTATGTAATTTCAAATGACAAACACTTATAAATGTGTGATTATGAGTTGTTTTGAGATGCAAGGAGTTTATAAGTTGAGAAATGAAGAAAATAGGCAAGTAAGTAGCCATTTCGGCTCGAATTGGCTTTATTTTGATGAAATGCGCCAAAAAAATTAGAACTTTTTTTCTTTTATGCAATTTCAACTCATAATCACTTATACATATGTAATTATGATATGGTTTGAGAATGTATAAGTTTATTAGTTGAGAAATGAAGAAAATAGGCAAGTGAGTAGCCATTTCGGCTCAAAATCAACTTGGCGGACCTTGCATATTGTAAATATATATATATATATTTGGCGGTTTTATTTTAAGAGTGTCTAACGGTTTAACACTGACAAAAATTGAGAACTAAATAATTTACCTCCTTATTAATCAACTTCACCCATGCACGTGGCCAATCAACGAAGCTACCTACAGCTTGCCAAAGCGTTGTTATCTCAACCTCCTCTATCGGTACAGGTAGTGGGATGTCTTCGAACCCCACAACCACTAAATTGATCCCAACCGAGTAATGATGTGGCCCCGCCGTAGCACCTGTCGTCGGTTGGGCACTACCATACGCCACCAAACTCAACGCCGTACTATTTTCATGCCCCGGGGCTAGAAGTGCACACCGGGTGTCTTCCTACACAAGTATATATATAAAAGAAGATAGTTAAATAGGACTTTTACAACAGCATAGATAATATAACAAAATTCATTAAGGTAGAGGGTTACAAATCACCTGTAACTATGGAAATTCATGCGGTGTTTGATTTTCAAGCTCCCTCGAGTCCGCATGTGTAGGAGTAGGAACCTGCAACAGTACATCAATCATTGCACCTGAAATCTCAATTAACTCTGTATTTTAAAACTTTTAATAACCCAATTGATTTTACCTCAGGTGGCACATCTTCACCACGTATCTCATCTCCTCCATGTCTATCACCTTCTCCTTGTCCTTTTGGTTCAGAACATGAGTCGACCGGGGTACTCGTGAGGAATTGCAAAGTCGGTAAGTTCATCAGCTTCGCCCAAGCATTCAATTCACCAACTAACTCATTGCGTACTTGTTCCTTAATTGATGCCACCTTGGCATCCAACTCCCCCGGTGAGTTAACACTGGCTCGAGATCTCCCTATTTTGTGTATTCGAGACCCATCACCTTATTCCGTCCAAGCAATGACCCTCCCAAACCTACTACTCGTCCTGGATGATATGGCCTTCCCAAAGCCATGGTGAAAGGGTCATTCTCCACACTTGGTTCAAATTTTCCCTCCACCATCTCTTGAGTGTGCTCAAGCTATAGCATAAGGAAAAATGAGGTCAGTAAAACAGTTAATGGTTTGTACAGTGATTTAGATGCAAAAGTGACTTAATTTCAACAATTCATAGGTAACTTACAAGCTTATCCGCTAGTTTTTTGGCTTCCGAACCCTTGATGACCCATTTTCCGGTTTTCTTATCAAACGAATGGAGAGAACAAAAGAAATCACCGGCACGACTCACCAATGTAGTGATTGTGGAACTAGAGGGTTCCTTCGATGCCACTAGAAGCGCTTTAGTGTATAAACCCGAACCGACCCACTCAGGTCTCTTTTCACCAAAAGTCTTAGGACCCATACGATGGACGTATTCCTTATTTTCTGCATTCTCTTGATTTTGCTCTCGAAGTTCCTACAAAACAAAAAATGTTAGTCTCATTACTACAAAAAGTGTCAAGCTATTATTCAATTGAGATCAGATTTACATAAACTTACAATGGCTTTCTTTTGACTCTTCATTCTAACAAACTCTTCCCAATCATCTTTTGACACGGTCGGCCATATTTGCCACGGGAGACGGTTATCCTCTTTGGCATTATTCTTCTTTGTTTGCACCTTCTTCTTCTTGTAGATCAACCGATTAGTCAACTTGGTCTTAAAGCCTCTGAATCTTTCCCCTAATAAAGATTCAAACACCCTTCTTCTCGGGATCATTAGGAATAGAAAACAGCCTCTGCAAGCACAAATTAAAACCGATTATTAGTTTCTATTTAGTAACAACCATAAGGTTAAGGTATCTTAAATTGTCTAAATGTGCTAAAAACACACTTACCCTTGTATCATCCCAAAATGCTTGAATCAAACCCGGAGGTACTTGCCGCATTACAAGTGTAATGGGGATTTTCCGTGAACATAAGCCAACTTGATTAGCATATTGTCGACGCCATTTGGGCCCGGGTTAGCCTTTTTTGTCATACTCCAAGACCATGGGACCGTCCGGTTTCTTAAAGCTTCTCGTCGGACCCCTTGTTTTTCTTTCAGCCGGTGCCTTTCCCCCCTTCCACCACCTGTGTTGTTTTCATCTTGTCCTTGGCCTTGACTTTTAGGAGTCGAGTTCTCACCAACAACCTCACGTGCTGTATTTACAAAGGTCGGTGCACGTTCAACTGCAATTTCAAAATCGTCAAGCCTACGCTCAAACTCATCTTGAGCCTGATCCTCTGGCTCACCCAAGTCATCCTCCTTATTCACATCATAAGGCACATCACTATCATCGGAGTCGTCATCCTCGTACTCGTCCTCATACTCATCATCGTCAATGTCCTCTACCAAAGGAGGATCATGATCGTCCGCCATGAGATATAAGCACCTGTCAAAGCAATCATAAAACAATATTAGTGTATAGTAAAGTATATGCATGATAGTTATTATGGTTATGTAGAAGATATTTAAGCCATTTTCACCTACTTATTATGGTCCTATAACCTTGTATATGCATGATAATGAGTACAAAATGCCAATTTCAATCTACATATGGAAAATAGGTTGTTAGAATGAATAAATGTTAGTTCATACACAAAATAAAGGAGTTGGGTTAAGTAGAAGCTATTTATGCCAGTTTCACCTACTTATGGACCTAGCTATAACCTTGTATATGCATGATAATGAGTACACTTAGGCAATTTCAAACTACAAATATATCATTTTCGCCTACTTATGCTCCTATATACATGATAACTAAACTATATTTGCAATGAAACCATTACTAACTTTAAATCAAACTACCTCATTATGAAATTCCTTCGTTGTGGTCTGATCGCATATAACCTGCTTCGTTGTCTATGTCATTTAGTACAACAGGTCTAGGAACAGTGAAAGGTGATGAATCATCAAACGCATCATATTCTTCCTCATCCTTAACATCTCCAATGCCTAGGATTCTTCTTTTTCCAGCTAGCACTATAGACCATTTTGAATCCATTGGGTCAGTTACGTAGAACACTTGCTTAGCTTGAGATGCAAGGATAAATGGTTCCGCACTATCATTCAAGTGGCCAAGATCTACAAGAGTAAAGTCCTCATGTTTGACGTTACGCCTGATATTATCAACCCACTTACACTTGAAAAGAGCAACCGTGAAGTCACAATAATCAAGCTCCCATATTTCTTGAATTCGACCATAGTATGACAACTCTGCACCGACAGGTGATTTATCCTTAGAACTTGCAAACTCCCTTGACGATGCCACAAGAGTTATACCACTGTTTTGGGTGGAGGAAGATTTCAAATCACGAGCCTCGGTCCAAAAAGTGTACCCATTGATGTCATATCCCTCAAATGAACGGACATCATCCCTAGGACCGTACGCAAGCCACCGTACTGTATCGGTCACATTAGTATCATTCAATCCACTCATTACTCGTTCACGAAACCAATAAACAAATTTCTTATTATGCAACTGCATAAGTGCCCTTTCACCTTTTGATGGAAATTCGGCACGCAAACAAGCCATGTGCTCGTCTAAATATGGGTGCACATCTGAAACATGGTGCAACACATAAAGGTGTGCTTGTAAGAACTGATCTCGGTCTGGTGACATTCGTTTCGACCCAATTGTGCCATGACCATCAAGTCTACCTTCATGTCGAGAAGTAGGAAGACCAATAGGTTGAGCAAGGGCTATGTAGTCCGCCACAAAGTTACCTATCTCCTCACCCACTGTCCCTTGCATTATACTTCCTTCAGGGTGATCTCGGTTCCGTACTTTATCTTGTAATGTACCCATGTGTCTTTCAAAAGGGTAGCACCACCTCATGAACACTGGACCGCATAACTTAATCTCACGCACCAAATGAAGAACCAGATGAACCATTATGTCAAAAAATGAGGGTGGGAAATACATCTCAAATTTGCACAAAGTCACAACCACATCTGCTTGCAAAGCATCTAGTGTACAAGGATCAAGAACTTTGCTACAAATTGTATTGAAAAACGAACAAAGGCTTGTAATAGCTTCCCTCACGTGTTTCGGTAGAATACCACGGATTGCAATTGGTAGGAATACTTGGATCATAATGTGACAATCATGGGATTTCATACTTGTCAGCTTCAATTCTCCATTTAAGGTTACAAATCTTTTCATGTTAGATGAGTACCCTGATGGAACCTTAATGCCGTACAACATACACAAAACATACGTTTCTCTACCCTTGATAATGTATAGCAAGCCGGGGGTAAATAATTCTTTTCATCCTTCCCTTTACCCTTAACTTTCTTCTTTGACGCATCTTTGGCCTTTCCCTTTCCCTTGCTCTTCTCCTTCCCTTTTTTCGAACATTTTCATCTTTTATTCTCGGCTCCTTCCCCTTTCTAACCTTTTCTTGAGACCACAATTCTGGACGAATCCCCATCTCTTTCAAATCTAACTGTGCACCCTTTCCGTCCTTTGTTTTGCCTGGGATATTCATAAGCGTCCCCAAAAGAGCATCACACACATTCTTCTCTATATGCATCACATCAAGACAATGCCTAACGTCATGTTCTCTCCAGTACGACAGCTTCCAAAAGAGTGATTCTTTCTTAAATAGAGCAGCTGAGACCACAGTTTTTTCTGATTTTCAAAACACCGTTCGTATCCCTTTCACCTGAGCACTAATCTCAGCACCAGTCAATGGTCTAGGCGCAGTATCCTCTTCCACGGTTCCATCGAAAGCCTTTTTCTGCCTACGGTACGGGTGATCACGCCTAAGGAACCTTCGAGTCCATAGGTAGACATCTTTGTGAGAATGAGTCAGGTATACGCTTGATGTGTCATCAATACATACACTAGTAGAATAAACGTAATGGCAAGCTGTTCAAACCCCCTAATGGGAAGCGGTTTTGAACCGCATGGGCTTAGGTGGCTTGCCATTAGCCATTTAAATGGCAAGCGGTTCAGAACCGCTTGCCATAACTAGAGAAAGGGCAGCGGTTTTGGCGCCAAACCGCTGCCCATTATGGGTATAAAAAATAAAATAATTTTTTTTTTTTTGGGTTTTTTCCACAAAAATTGATATATAAACCAAACATATGTAAAAACATTAATATTTTTATTAATTATTTGTTGTAATATTACATTTACATTAAAAAAATTAATAAATAAAATTAATACAAATAATAAAAAAAAAAACTGATGTTATAGATCAAACTTCCAGCCACGACCACCAACACCACCGTCTAGCACCACCACCCACCACGACCCCCACGAGCAGCCACCACCATCAGAACCCCAACTGATGACCCCCACCCACCAAACCCTCACCGAAACCCACCAAAACCCACCACGACCCCCCACCACCCCTCATCCACCAGAACCACCAACTAACCCCCACCCATCAAAACCCTCACCGAAACTCACCAAAACCCACCACGACCCCCCACCACCCCTCACCCACCAGAACCACCAACTAACACCCACCCACCAAAACCCTCACCGAAACCCACCAAAACCCACCACGACCCCCTACCACCCCTCACCCACCAGAACCACCAATTAACCCCCACCCACCAAAATCCTCACCGAAACCCACCAAAACCCTAACCCAAACCACAACCCTCACCCACACAACCAGACCCCTACCCAAACCACGACCAGACCCCACCCAAACCACGACCCACCACGACCGTACCCACACCAAAAATAAATCTAAAATCGAAATTTAAAAAAAAAAATTCGACCCACCTTAAAAAAAAATCATCTAGCCCACCACGACCTCCACCCACCCCCATGAAAAGCTTGAAATTAAGGTTTTAAAGTTCAAATTCGACCATAAAAACTCTAGATCTAGAGTTTTCATAGTCGAATTTGACCTAAAAAACTTGAACACCCAAACGCATGCACGAATTTGCTTGAAATTGCACTCGAAATTTGCTCAAAATTGTCCTCAATCTGCTCAAAAACTTGGTGTTTTGGTTGAATTTGCTCGAATTATTTTGGTTTTGGTTCGATTTTTTGGAGATGAGAAAGAACAAAGAAAAAAAGAAAGTGAAAGAAGAAAGGATTGAAGGAAAGAGAAGAGGAGAGAGGGGGAAAACGGGAGAAAGAAAGAGGAGAGAGATAGAGCACCAAAAATGAAAGAGGAGAGAGAGAGAGAGAGCTGAGTAAAGAAAGAGGAGAGAGAGAAATAAAGGGAGGGGTGCACGGTTTTAGGTTTTTTTTTAAATGGCCAGCGGTTTGGCCTTGAACCGCTTGCCAATTTAACTAATGGTAAGCGGTTCAAGGCCAAACCGCTGTCCATTAGTTAAAAGGGAAGCGGTTCGCGCCAAAACCACTGGCCATTACACTTCCCTCTTTTTTTTTTTATTAATCTAATGGGAAGCGGATTTTGTAAACCGCTTGCCTATAACCGCTTCCCATCACATTTATTCTACTAGTGATATGGGGCATGCTTTTTCCCCTTTGACCTTGTACGCACACAAGTTGCCATATGCAGGGAAGTCATTAATGGTCCACATAAGGGCTGCACGCAATGTGAACATCTCGTTCTGATGAGCATCGAAAACGGAAACCCCTTCGTCCCACATCTTTCTCAAGTCGTCAATAAGCGGCGCAAGGTAAACATCTATGTCGTTTCCAGGTTGATTAGGACCAGTTATTAGCAATGAAAGCATTACATACTTACGTTTCATGCACAACCAAGGAGGCAAATTATAAATCACTAAAAGTACCGGCCATGTGATGTGTTGGGTACTAAGTGTGCCAAATGGATTCATCCCGTCCGTGCACAACCCAAGCCTTAAATTTCTGACTTCATTACCAAATTCCTCAAACTTCAAATCAATGTTCTTCCACTGTGGAGAGTCAGCTGGATGCTTCAGCATTCTTTTTTCTTTCTTCCCTCTGCATGCCACCTCAACTTTTTAGCGTCTTTTGGTATTGAGAACAGACGCTTAAACCTTGGAATAATGGGAAGATACCACAAAACCTTAGCAAGAGGTCCCTCCGTGCCAGGATTGCAACTCATGCGCTTGTACCGCGACCGCTTGCATCGTGGACACTCCTGCAGTTTTTCATACTCATTTAGATACAAAATATAGTCATTAGGACATGCATGTATCTTCTTATACTCCAAACCAAAGGGACACATGAGCTTCTTTGCGTAATAATAAGACTTAGGAATTTCATTCCCATCAGGCAACATATCACTTAACGCGGTCAACAAAGAAGTAAAACTGATGTCCGTCCACCCATGCTTCGACTTAATGTTGAAAAGTGTTAACACGGTCGATAGTTTGGAGTATTTTTTGCACCCGGGATACAAAGGCTTTTTGGAAGCCTCCGATAATAATTCAAACACTTCACCTTCAACACCATGCAACATCTCATCCACTTGTTCATCCTCGACCTCATCCGCCTGATCTTCATCGGCTTCATCCTCGCCATTATCAACAATATACTCATCATTCTCGTATTCCTCGTCCACATGAATCTCATTGCTTCTAATACGCACATCATTCCGATCAAGATCCCCACTATACTCTCCACTTTCTCCGTGCCAAATCCACACATGGTATAATTGCCTAAACCCACGACATAATACATGATCTCTAATGATTTCAACACTATCGACCACATTCACATTATTACAATCAACACAAGGACAATAAAGGCCTTTGCCTCCCAGTGTGCGTTGATAAGCTAAAGCCCTCTCGCAAAACTCTTGAACCCCATTCCAAAATTCCAATGTATCGCGTCTACCATACATCCAACCACGATCCTTCTCCATTTAGTAAATTGTCTCTAAACATATATAGCACCATATAATTATAATGTGTAAGTGCTACATATTTTATGTAAATCAAATTCAAGTACAAAACGTGAATATACCATTCATATAGTGAAAAAATGCATGTTTCCAAAGGGTCCTTATCACTCCAACCTAACCCATCCTTGAATGTCTACTCTCACTAGTGAATGTATGTCAACTTTCCAATTTTAAGGAAAATCCGGCAGCATTTCCCCCTAGTTCTCCAAGTACACGATGTAGATAATTAATTACCCACATATGTACCCAGAGAACATAGTGAGGAAATGGTAAGCCAAGATGTTCCTTAAAATCGAAAAGAAAACATACATTCACCACCTAAGTGAGAGTACACATTCAAGAACAGTCCCAACCGGGGACTATTCAAGACTTTCTCCTAATGAGAAAGCCTTGAACGGGTATCTAAGCATATGATGATGCAATTTAAGTATTCTATATATTGTTGTATTTATTTGCAATTAAACAATACACAAGTTGAAATTTCATGAATAAACTTTTATTAAATGGATAAATAGAAAGAAATATAGCTAAGTAAAGTTTATAAGTCATACCAATATAGCAACTACCCACTTGAGCTCAATATGTAGTCCTCAAGCTAATTAAACTCGTGCTTCAATTCACATATGAATCTATATATTAAAAAACAAAAATTAGCAACGTCACTAATTCTCTAATATATTCACGAATCTCTAATGTATTCACAATTCTCTAATTTATTCACAACTAATTAAGTGGCAATATCACTATTTCTCTAATTTATGCACAATTCTCTAATTTAATCAAAATTCTCTAAATTATTCACAAATCTATAAAGTAATCACAATTCTCTAATTTATTCATAATTTTTTAATTTATTCACAAATAATTAGAAGCAAGGTCACTAATATACACATTAAAACATACAAAAACTCAACTAAGGAACAAGGTAATGCAAAATTACTAATATATTCAAGTTACGACTACTTTCATCTGGATTTAGTTGTCACGTTTGTACAAATAGTACTAAGAGTACATGTATAAGCATGAAATATTCAATCGAGGATCAAGAGTCAAAGCATTCAATCACAATAATTTGACTAAGAAATCACCATCTGGAACAAAAAGAAAAGTGCATGGAGAAAAATAAACTCACTCTTTTTCACCAAGCTTCACTGTAGTTCCTCCGTATTCAGGAAGGAGTACGGTATCCCCTTCTTTGACAGCAACAGGAATATGATTCCCCGTCTTGTCACGAAGGCCAGGTCCAACAGCAAGAACTTTGCCAGAATTCAGCTGAAATCGGATCCAAGCAACAAAATTCAGTAATAAATCCTTAAACTGATTCAATTATCAAAAACCAAACTCCCCAAAACAAGGCATCATAAACAAATTTCACAGCCAACAACAGCTTGGAAATAATACTCAATCAACCTATGAAGAACAAACATACAATTAATTTGCATAATAACCCCAACATCTCACAAATCACAATAATTTAGATGAATAGCAGAACATATTGCCATTGTAATCAGCAGATATTTTAATCAACAATAAAGTCAATCAGAATCATAAAACCCAATAATGTAGCACAATTTTAATCTTACCCTAAATTAGTTGGAGGTGGAAGAAGCTAAGGGAATGAGAGAATGAGGAAGACCCTCGCTGGTGGAGGTCGACAGAAGGTGGTGCGCACTAGCGGAGGCAGCGCGGAGGTGGAGGTCGACAGAAGGTGGTGCGCACTAGCGGAGGCAGCGCGGAGGTGGAGACGGTGCGCGCTGGTGGAGGTGAAGGCAGTGCGCGCTGGTGGAGGTGGAGGCAGTGCGCGCTGCTGTCGTTAATTGTTTCGAACAGAGAAGGGCGGTGGAGGCCGGCCGTGAAAGACAGAGAAGGGCAGAGCAGGGAGAATTAACGGCGGTGGTTTTCGACTCCTCTATGGCCGGTGAAGGTGGCGGCTGTGGTGGAGGGAAAAGGGGGAGGCACTTCAAATACTCTGAAAGAAAACGAAAGAAGGGATGAACGAATGAAGGGAAGGAAAGAGAAAGAGAAAGAGAGGAAGAAAAGAGAAAGACGCAGATTTTTTTTTTTTTTTAATTTGGCACCGGTTTGAATGGCGCCGGTTCAAACCGGTTCTTTTTTTATTTTTGGCACCGGTTCAGCTTGAACCGGTGCCTTTTCTCTTTTGGTAAAATCTCGCCCATTTCTAGACTGGTTTTGGGCACCGGTTTAGCCTGAACCGGTGCCATATGGGGGGTGCCTAATGCTTTTTTCCTACTAGTGCTCGGTCGGTATTATAGGGATTACTTAATCAATGTTATAGGGGTCACTTTAAGTGGCCACACGGTGTGGCCGGAAAAACACAAGACGGGTTGTTTTGACAATTTCTCCTAAGAAAAATCAGTCTTTATTCCAAACTTATATTGTTAATGATAATTTACATATATCTTGTTTAATTTTCACATATAGATGTTCATTCTAAGGGGTCTTTTGGTTGGGGGTAATCAGGAAAGGGAATGGGAATCAACTGGCCCGATTCCCTTTGTTGATGTTTGTTTAGCACTTTTATTCATTCTCTTTACCCTCCCCATTACCCCAAATCCTTCCAACTTCATTCCCCACCACCCCTAGGTATTTCCATTCCATTCCCTACCCACCTTCACACCATCACATCACCACCGAAAAACCATCCCAGACCACCGTCGCACCTCCCCGACCACCGCCCTCCCCTCCCCCGAGCCTCGCCAACCTCCCCTTTCCCAAAAAAAACCTCCCCTAGCCCCGCAAAACCCTAGCCCCGATCTCCCTTGACCCTGAAAACCGCCGCCCGGCCCTCCCACCACCCTCGAAACCCTAGAGCTAGGGTTTCGAGGGTGGTGGGAGGGCTGGGCGGCGGTTTTTGGGGTCAAAAGAGATCGGGGCTAGGGTTTTGCGGGGGTAGGGGAGGTTTTTTCGGGGGAGGGGAGGTCGTGGCTCACGCTGCTAGCGGTGACGAGGGAAGGGGAAGGGCGACGAGGGGATGGGAGGGGGAGAGCCGGCGAGGGGCAGGGGAGGGCCGACGAGGAGTTTGGTGGCTGAGAAAGATGAAATGTGTGGTGGTGTGGTGGTGTGGTGGTGGGATTGATTCCCTTTGTTTTAAAAACAAACAACAAAGCAAAAAAAGGGTATTTTCATTCTATTCTTCTCCTTTCCCTTTGTTCATTCCATTCCGATTCCCTCGTGCGAACCAAACGGCCCCTAAGTTAATTTCCATTTGTAAACTGATTTTTCTTAGAATATTATTATAATGGATATGTTACTAAATTAGATTCGTATTCCAAAGATGCAAGTTTGTCATTTTCATTCAATAAAAGAAGATTTGTTTGGAAGTGACATATATGTTCACTACATTGTCTGGAAGGACTTTATGTAGGTTAAAAGTGGTCTAATAAGACCTTATAAGGGACCATGACATCAGAATCAAGGTGTTGATTATTAAGTTCGGCATTGACCTGTCACGTGACTTAAAAAAAAACCCTGTTTTTAGCACGTTTTCCCTCCAATTCCTTATTCTCTCTCTTCTAATCCCAAATTATCACTCTCCTAGTCTCCTCTACTATTTTCTGACGCACAATCTATGAAGGAGTGAAGATTAAAGAGTTAGATTGAAGTCCATTAATTATTTCTCCTCGTCTATCAAATTGGATTCCAATTAGAAAGGAGAGGACTTTGTTGGCCCAAGTATGAATATCCTCTTCTCTCTCATCTGTCATTTTCATTTCCTCTTTTGTACATCAATTTTTTTTCTTTTTTTGGTCTTCAATGGCGAAAGGGAAAAAGGGGCAAACGTGGGAAGGAATTTATGTTTTTTGTCCAATAAATCTATAAAACTAGGTAAATCAACTAAATTGAACTTGATATTGTAATTTGCAAACGAAAATTACGGTTTTTGCTTAATTTTGTGATGTTTATTTTTGCGAACAAAATTGAAGACAAAAAACATAAATAACTTAATTGAAATATGTTGACTTCTATTTTTGTAAAAAATTTGTAAAGAGAAAGGATTACATTTAGGAACCCATATTTTTGAGGAGAGAGAAAGAATATGGGGAAAAAATCTGGGCAAAATAAGGGAGTTGGAGGGAAAACGTGGAAAAAAAAGAAAGTGGGGGTGGGGGTCATTTTTGTAAGTCACGTGATAGGTTAATGCCGGAGTAAAAAAAGTCAATCACCAGATTATGACCTCAAGGTTCTCCTGCACAACAAAATAAACTTATAAAGTCCTTTTAGATCACTTTAAACATATAAGGTCCTTCCATACAAAATAGTGAACATATATGTCCCTTTCAAACAAATTTTCCTTCAACAAATTGGGTTTATAGTGTAATTTTGCCTAATAAATAAATGAATTTAAGGAGAAAGATGAACTTCAATGGAGAAACGAAGAACTTTCATAGAGAATCAAAGAACTTCCATGGAGAAAGATGAACTTCAATGGAGAATTTGAACTTCAATGGAGAAAGATGAACTTCAATGGAGAAATCGAACTTGGCATGGGGTTCCAATGGAGGAGGATTATTAATATTCCTACCTTTTGAGATTAACCATGCCCTTTATTTAATTTTTCAATTGTATCTTAGGATTTTTGTTTAAATCGATGGCAAAGCCGCTAGAAACATGGTGGTAAAAATAGTGGTTCACGAGAGAAAAACTCGACAACTTTAATGGAGTAATGATAACTTGTTATTTGATATGATTTTAGAGTGATTTCGAACCTTGTTTACCTGGTATATTGGCATTTTGGTTCACTTATACTCTATTTTTGTTCAACTTTTGTGTATCCCTTGCTTCACGGGTTGTTAGTGTTTTGTTGAGTTTTTAGGTTCAAAGACGACCATTTGAGGCATTTGGATGATAAACCGAGGTTAGAAGCCGAAATAATGGAGCGAAACCGAAGAAAAGTGAAGATAAATCCCCTAGAGAGTCTGCAATGGCACGTCCGTGCAGGAGTGCCCCAGCACGACCAGAAGCTACTGCCTACTGCTTTAAAGGCCTGAATGTCCGTGTAGAGTTCAACACGTCCGTGCAGGATATTCAGCACGTCCGTGCCTGATCCTGCACGTCCGTGCAGTTTGCTCAGCCCAAATTAGTTTCAAAACTGACTCTACTGAACAAGGCCTGCACGTTCGTGCCATATTTGGCACGTCTATGCAGGATGCCCTGGCCAAAACAGTACATTCTGCCTCCCTGCTTTCAAAGGTGCACGTCTGTGCCTACCTCGGCATGTCCGTGTAGGTATGGCTGCACGTCCGTGCCAACCTCAGCACGTCCGTGCTGACCTGTAGTCGTGCCCGACTCTTGTTTTCTCCGTCTTTTTTATTTGGGGTCTTTATAAATAACCCCTTGAGCTCATTTGTACGGCATCCAAGTTTTTAGTGCTTCCTCTTAGGGCCTGTTCTCATTGACTGAACTCAGCTGAGCGCTGAGCTGAACTGAAATGAATATTTTATAAGGGAAGGAAATTAGGAGCTGAACTAAACTTATTAGAGTTGAACTGAACTGAACTGAAAATAAACGTATGAGAACAGGCCCTTAGTTTGTAATTGTAGAAACACAAACATTCTCAAATCATTAGTTAGATTATAATTATTAGCTTGGAAATTTCATTCTCAATCATTGTAGAAGAAAAGTTCCACCATTGATTTTCAAGTTCAAGCTTCTAGTAATATTTTTTCTCACTCTTCTCTTCCATTTTAATTGCTTTGATTGTTAATTTTCTTGCTTAATTCTTGTATGCTTAAATTGTTATTTAGCTTAATCTTTAGTAAATTCTTGTTCATGAGTTACTTGAAACCCCTAATTGCTTTAATCTCCATGGATTGTGAGTAGTCTAATTTTCTAGGGTTTGGGTAAAACCCTCAATGTAGTCACTAATTACTTGTTGCATGTGTTAATTTGGTAATTGTTGGGTGTTAATTAGTTGAGCTTAAGTGGTTTAATTGCTTAGTTCTTGTATATGGCCATTGCTAGAATTATTATCTAATCTTTCTCAACGAAGGATCGAGAGATGAACTTGAGTTAGCTCCCTTATGCTTAATTGACTTGAAATGCCTTGAGAATAGGAATTTCCAGTCAAGGGAATGTTTTCGTCATCGTGATTATGCTTTAACGCTTGCTTTATGCTTTGTAACCACAAGAGTAGGTTGTATTCATGATTCAAGTAATCCCTCTAGGTTGAGAGAGTAGTTGGGTGCTTTAGATGGCTTCCCCTATATTATCCCCTTAATTTATCATTGTTTGCTACATGCTACTTGTGATTTGTGACGAAATTGAGTGGTATATCCGAGCCCTAGAACTCTTTAATTATTGTTAATCACCCCTTAGTATTAGTTGATTTGAATTAGTACATGCTACATAAAACCAAACCAATTTCGACTTCATTTAGTTTGTTTAAACGGTAGTATCTCGGTGGTTGATTCAACGCCTCTCTTAGGTTCGACCCTTTCTGACCCTTGCTATTAGCTAGTGAGAACAAGATAGGACTTTATCTTTGATAGGCTCGACGACGGCCTATCAAGTACTATTAGTTAAAATGAAAATGGTTGGCAGAGGAGGAATAAGAAGGGCGAAGATAGAGGTGGGTCGTGGGTTGGGATTGGGGGAAGAAGATGGAGTTTGGTTGTGGATGGAGATCTGAGGAAAGAGATGAAGGAATAGCAAGAATGAGATCAGGAAAAAAAAGTACAAAAAAAAATTAAAAATTGACAAAGTACTAAGAAACTACATCTTTAATCAATTATTCCCGGTCAATTTAACCACACGTTGTTTTGAAAATAAAAAGTACTTTCTCCGTTCTATTAATATTGCAACAATGGACTTTTTGCACTATTCATCACTCTTGTTTGACCATATAATACGAGTTACTCCCTTCCTTTTTAAATACTTGCTCCATTTCTCCATGCACGGAGTTTTAGGAGAAATTGGAAAAAGTTATAAAATATGGAGGTAGTGGGGTTGGTGGAAGAATAAAAAATTATAAAAAGCAAAAGTAGTGGAGAAATTGGAGAAGAGAGAATATGAAATTAATAAAATATGATATTTGTTGGGTCCACTAGGTGAGAGAAATGAGTTAAATATTGTAAAAGCTTTCTAAATAAGGAAATGGAGCAAGTATTTAAAAACGGCCGAAAAAGGAAAGTGGAGCAAGTATTTAAAAACGGAGGGAGTATACGTTAAGCAAAATATAGTCAAGTGAGATCTTGTTGGATTCGTCTTATAAAATACTTTCACAATATCAAATTTTTATAATTTTTACTCTTACACAATTATAGATATTTAGCATATAAAATATGTTTTGGGATGCGTAATTTCTTTGTTGTAATATTAATAGAACGGAGGAAGTATATACATTACGGAGTACTTGCTAAATGTAAAAGGTCGGAGGCAGTGATTGCTAAAGACTGCTAGATAATTTATGGTTATCAAATTCCATGACAGATAAAATTATATATAACATTTTAAGATATGAAGCATCACTTCGTTTTTTTTCAATTTACAAATATTATTTTAATTTATGAAAGGTATGAATGATAAACACAGTTTATATATGTAATCGTAAACTATATGGCACTTCCAATGTGACACAATGTGCAAAAGCGTCCTAAAAAATATTAAATTCAAAATAAAAAAAATAAAAAGGTGAATATCATATTTTCTCTTAGTATTATGACATATATATGGTGGGCTGGCAAAAGCTAACTCGACCTGAAATAACGGGTTAGTATTGAGGTTTTCGATCCGAAAACTTCAAAAAAATTTGGTGGCTCCCTACTTTACTTTGTCCCTAATAGTTGTCCCTAATCGTATGTCAATTCTTACTTACTTTAAGTGTCAAGCATACTCAAAACATGATTATGTAGGCGTGCTTTGAACAACGCATACAAGATGCCAAAAAGTTACCTTTGGTGATCCCCTGAATCCCTTTTTTGTAACAACTTAAGTTTTTGTACCTTTTTTGCTATGTTAGCCAAACATTAAATTAGTAACTATTATTACTACAATCTCCTTATATTTGTATTTAATTACCCCATTAAAATTTGTCTAAAGCAATTTTATCCTGCTAAATATTTTTTCTAGATTCGCCACTATATATGTCAATTATACACAAACTCCCTCCATTTTTTTATAAGCTAGATTTGAGATTTTTCAATATTCATGCATCATCACTGACTTAATTTTTTTACCAATATATAATATATAGATGTGATCATATAATATGTTGTTGGATTTGTTATAATTAATTTCTACTTTTATAATTTAATTTTTTTCATAATTTTTACAAATCTCTCATTAAAATATTGACGGTCAAAGTTGTGTATCGGCAAATGTGCAAATTTGACTCTAGCTTATAAAAAAAAAGAGTATTATATATGTGTAATATATACGCAATATATAATATATAATGTATAATGTATAAAATTATATATTAAAGTTTGTGTTTTTACCATCTCTAGTCCTTCTATATATTGTATGTAGTTTATGGAGACTTTAGGATAAGTTGTGTATCTCTTCATAACTTGACTGTAGGAATTAAGCAATTGGGTTTACTTAATGATGCACATACCTCAAGTACCTTATTATAACTATATTTATATTAACAGATAATTTAAGTAATAAAAATATGAGTTTGTATGAGACAACAAGATTTTGTATAGCGGAGTATCTCGGTACAAATTCTCAATAAGGAAATTAGGTTAATATGTAATCAAATTTTAATTTATATCTCTTAGTTCTAATCCACTTGAAAATCTTTATCGAGTGAATTATGGGATGGTCAATTGCCCACCATGGTCTTTGATGGACATGGACTTTAGATGAAAAATTCTTAGAAAATAATAATTTGACAATTAGTGTCCAGAATATCAGCACCGTTCATTATGCTAAAAGGGTGTTTGAGAAGGGGCTTGCTGTGAGAGAAGATGCATAATTATCCATATATGGAGGCCGCTGTAGAAGGTTCAACACTCATAAGACACCCATTGTACATTTTAATCAATGTCACCTGAACCTTTGATTTGATTTGGAGTTCATTTATTTTATTCGTTTCTATTATTGTGACATCATGAGTACATTTTTAGGTGGGACTATAATTTAATGTGTATATAGATTCATGGCTACTTCTACAACTCTAGACCTTGCCTTTCTATATTAAAAAATTGATCGACTACTTTTATTTATTAGGTTTCGTCACCTTGGTACTTGCTAATAATAAGATCTATATAAAAATTGGGTGAAATACAGAGAATGGGGTCCAAATCGATGGTATCTTGAATGGATTGAAGATTGTGAAAGTAGGTGTTAGGATTATCGTGTGTCTTGTTGCTAATTCCTTTAATGCAATCAGGTTCTATAATAAGGTTTCCCAAAATAAAAATGCATCATATCATAGTGCGGAAAATGATTGGGGTTTTATCTTAATCACTTTATTCTTGTTAGAAAAAATACTAGGTCATAACAAGACCCTACAACCATTGTCTCTCGTTGTTGGGACTTTTCCCTCATACATCTTGAAACCAATAAAGCGGTAATTCACAACTTCGATGAGAAATTGGTCATTAGGTCTCGTTGATTTGCAAAAGTGTTCAAGGCCAAATTAAGGGGTTTGCCAAAAGTTCGCGGTAAAACACGGTAGTGATAACAAGGCCAAGGTCTTCTTGAGTTCCAAACAGAATTCCAAATGATATCTAAAGTTCGTCACAAAAATTTTGTCTCTCTGGTTGGGTATTGCATGCACCGACAA